ATAAAAACCATAGATTTAATTATATAATCCTACCATTGCAACCATTAAAAAAAATCTCTAACTTATACTTATAATTAAAAGGTTGTGAATTATTCTTTGGCAGCTGAATCTAACTCCAACATAAAAAACTATATGATTCAAGCTTGTTTAATTTGAAAATAATTCAATGTGGTTTAACTCTATAATAATTCAATTGGTTTAACCCTTTAATAATTCAAGCTGGTTTAACTCTATTATTATAATTCAAGCTCGTTTAACTCTATAATAATTAAATTTGGTTTAGATCTTAATTTATTCAAGCTGGTTTAACTCTATTATAATAATTCAAGCTGGTTTAAATCTATAATAATTCAAGCCGGTTTAACTCTATTATAATAATTCAAGCTGGTTTAAACAGGCACTGTAAATTAAGTGCAATTATTTACAATGGAATTTTTCTAAAAAAATTGTTTACAAAATTAAAAAAACAATATTTCCAGTAGTAGGATTATATAATCTCATAATGCCATCAAGTTCATTAAGTAAACATTGTGTTTTAACTCTTTCCATGCCAGGGGGTTTTCCACGTTTGTGCCAGACCAGTATTCAGACAATGGAAATTTTTTAGGGTGCTACTATCTATTAATAATTTTTAATACATTTCTTTTAGCGAGATAGGTGTATTTCATTTCAAATTAAAGGAAATTATACAGAGAATAATAATATGTAAAATATAACAACAATAAGTTAAATTTTATAGGTAAAATTATGAGCTAAAATTTTTTATGTTTTTAAAATTCCACACCAAATCTGTACTTATCAGACTACCATACGGTCTGTGTAGCTGATATCCTATTCTGCTTCAATCCCCAAAAAGTATATCCATTTTTTATCATAATGCATTACATTTTGAAAATATTCCAATTTTATTACAGAGTTATACCCATTTTTGTAAGGTTAGGAGTATTCTTATCTGAATCCTCACTGTTGCCATAGTAACAAAGTGGTTTTGAAAAAAATTCATAACTTTTGAACTACTTGAGCTAGAAAGTTGATCTGGGTGTTTTTTAATCCATTCTCTAGGCTCTATCCATTCGTGGTATTTTTATATTTTTAAAAATGTTTTGAAATTTTTATGAAAGTGTCGACAGAAACCACTATTGCTATTACTATCACCATTCTATTACTATTTCCATTTGGCATTTACCGACCCATCAGAATGCTGAAAATCATCATTGGAATCAGATTCAAATGATTCATGGTTATTGTCTGTTGTTTCAGCATCAATAATTAGCAATAAAAGTTCTTTTGTTTGCAAAATTGACTACCTATGTGGTCTAGCAACAGCTGACACGCTTGGAGTGGGCGTGGCCACGGCTTTGTTTACAAAAGGTTCAACACAAATTGAACTATTATTAGAAAAAACACATGCAAACATGCCCTACTTCTTAAAAAAGGGAAGTAGTAAGAGTTATCCTTCATTTAAAAACAAAAAAAGTCGGATTAAAGGCCACAAGAAACGGAAGAAACTACAAAAGTGATATTGACATATCGATATATACTGTGGGTTGGCACGAACGCAACCAGTCAAATCGACAGTATACTGTCGATTGCCACGGAAAGAGTTAAACATGACATGACAGATGCCGGTACTTGAGATGAGCTCAATCAGGATGAATTCTTTCCCCCAAAGTTAACATCGAAAGATATACAAATTCTTTTGTTCCCCAGTCTGCTAGAATTAACCCGGGTGCTCCTCTGGCTTTAACAAAATCAAACAATCACTCTTAATTAAAGTTAATATCATCACTAAGTGAGTGAAGTTCTCTTGAATATAATGGCTGATTGTAGCACTTGAGACATGCATTAGATGTGTTTAAATTGTTCTAGTTTAACATTTTTGTTTAAGAAAGAATATTTGCTGGATATGTGCTAAAAATGAATATGTACAGTGTAATCAAAACCCATTCCTATTTATTTGAATAAAGAAAAGAATCTTATCTTACCTTACCTCATCTTATAGTGTTGAAATGTAGCAAAAACAGATACAACTGTAAAAGCCCTTAGGAAATGAATTATTGAGTGTCCAGGACTGTCAGATTACATAACTACCAGCACCAGGATCTGTTGAAGAGATGTTTCTTTGAGCAGACTCAGAAAGAGGAAAACGGAAACTGAAAATGTTTCATTCAGTAAGTCATTTAAAGCATTGTTCACCTGCTAACATTGTCATACAATGTTCTCCTGCTAACATTGTCATACAATGTTCACCTGCTAACATTGTCATACAAACACACTTTTTTACACCGACTATCTATTTGAATGAATTTGAGATTAAAACTATATAAAATATATAGTATAGCCTATTGTACGTACAATTTAACAAACATAATCATGAACTTAAAAATTAACATACATTAATTAAAGAAAACAAAACAAATGTATATTCACTCTATCCATTCCATAACTACTTACACGTCAAGCCATGGACGGCACCCAGTAGCATCGTTTATCAGTATCAGTGATCAGTGATAGGGAGGAATCAGTCAGGATAGTAGTTAATAGGGTATAAAGAGATGTGTTTTTGAGTGCAATTTTGAAGGCTGTGATGGTCGGTATATGCAGATTTGTAGTGGAAGAGAATGCCATTGTTTGGGGGCAGAGAAAGATTCACTGTAGCTGTAACTGTAAGCTTTTGTCCTTTTACTTTTGTGAGTCTTGGGGACAGCTGCACTTACACGCCTAATTAAAATTATTATTTTTAAATTTACTAAGACTAAGGTATTTACCAATTTTAATTAGGCCTAATTTTTAGTACACTGATTATTTCTAATAATAAAAAATCTAAATTATAAAATAAAAAAGGGTTACTTTTAATTTTACTTTCACTTTTTTTAAGTTTTGTTAGTAAATTGTTAAGCAACTGAACTTGATTTGAAACTCACTCACCTACACCTTCTGGGCATGTCAACTAAATCACAGAACATTTTTGTGGCCATTAACAATCGTTTCTACAGTCACTTTGGATTTTTTGCATTTAACTTTACAGTTAACTAATTTTAAATACTAGTCGTTTGGTGATGCTCATTTATATGGTTATCTATCACTTGAGTATCGGCCATGAAAAATCCAGTTGTTCCGGAAGTTCCGGTTGGAAAGGCTATTTAAACAATTATTCTTACCGTATATTATTTTTATGACATTGTTACAGTTACTCTTATATTACTAGCGAGAACCCGGCATGCTTTCCATGCTACTCAAAGAAAAAAAAAGTTTTTGTTTTAATTACATTTCTTAAAGTAATTTTTATATTTTTTTCCGTCTGGTGCGTGCACAAATAAATTAGATTAGAAGGTTTTTCGAGGCAACATACAGCTGTCCACGTGAGACCTAATAGTTGCAGCCAAACACCAGTCTTATCTCATAGCTGCAGCCAACAACAGTCTTATCTCATAGCTGCAGCCAACACCAGTCTTATCAGTCTTATCTCATATCTGCATCCAACACCAGTCTTATATAATACAGAAAAAGCGCTAATTGATCTATTGAAAATAAAATTCGGTTGAGATCGGTGTTTTTTTTATGTTGTTGTTTTTTGTTTGTTTGTTGTTGTTTTGTTGTTGTTGTTTTTTTTTTTTTTTTTTTTTTTTTTTTTTTTTTTTTTTTTTTTTTTTATTTTTATAAATTTTTTGTTGTCAGTACAGTTTAACAGAATTTGATTGGGTGGGCGATTTGATTGTCAAGCAATCCCATTGGCTTAAAAAAGATAACTCTGACACCAGTGGCACAAAATGTGTAGCCAAGATACCCGATGACAGGATAGGGAACAGATGGAAAATGCTACCATTGTTTCTAGATCATTATATGATAGCGCTTTTTAGACAGCGTGACTGTTTTTGGTCGTGGACTTTAAATGTGATTTTTGTCTATTTATGTATTTATTTTTCTCAAAGTGATAACTAACTTTTTAAAAAAAGCATTACCAGTTAAAACTTGATGATCTTAGAGCATGTATTATATTTATGAAGTGATAAAACAATTTGTTATGTAATGTTTGACTTATCATTATTTAAATTACAAGTGTTGTAAGACAAACGTCTTTGAGAGATATAAGTTTTAAAAATAACATATGTAACATGCTCGTAACCTTTTTATTTTTATAAGTATTCGATATAAGTCGCGTAATAAAGACAAATTTGGAATTCGAACATCAACATGAACTTTAGTTACAATTTTTCATTTGGTGCACATCAAGTGTACTACAACAAAAGGTAAGTAAGGCTAAGGGTATCTAGTGCACATTGTAACAAAGGAGATTATCCTCTTTTGTGTGTGTTATTATTTCATGACTTATATATTGATTTTTTGCGGTAATGATGAATGTAATAAATTTAAAATCTTTAGGTTTAAAGGGGTGAAAAAAAGCCTAATTTTAAATCCCACATAATTAACGATTACATTTGATTTATCATGAGTAAAAATAGCAGATTTACCTGAAGAAAAAAAGACTGACAAAATAAAACGGAGTTAATCATATTTTGTTTTTGGTTTTTTTAAATAAATTAAACTAACTACAATCAATGTTAAAGTTTGTTAGGGCTGAAAGTTTGATAGAGTGTGTTTTCATCGGCAACGCGTCTATGCGCCATGTTTAGCTCTATACTATAATTAGACGTCCGAAGATTTTTGCCTGTCAGGAAAGCCATAAAAAAGCGAAGTTAATATAAAGGATTTTAAAAAATCGATTGAGTCATTACGATTCTAAATTTCATATTCCTTCATTTCCCCATTGCGCTTTTCTTCCTTTGGTTATTAGGGAAAAAAAGTGTTTAATACTAAAACGTGCAAACACTAGCAAACTAACATTTATAGTTATGTACCTATGTGTTTGTTTGAAGTGCATGTATTGAGATGATACATTTAAATTATATTTCTGATGATACATTTGTTGTTCTCTTCATAACCTTTACAGTGCTCACAGTATCCCTGAGGACGTAGTGTACTCTTGGAGACAACTCACCATGAAAATCTACATGTGGGTGATCTGTGGGATTGGATTGCCAGCGAATATTCTGATCATCGCAACCATCTCAACATTTCGATCCCGAGGCCCTGCCCCATTTTTGCTCTGCCTCCTGGCCGTCATTGATAATGCTGTTCTTGTTGCTAAACTCATTGAAAGTAATATTTCAGCCTACCAGGTAGAACTTGGCCGGTACGGCTGCAAGATGGTCGAAGTTCCTTTTAGAACGCTCGCCGCCATCAGGAACTGGACAGTCGCCGTAATGTGCGCCAAGCGGTACCTTGCTGTTTGTAAGCCGTTCAAGAGGAACGTCTGGATCTCTAACAGACGTTGCAGACTTATCGTGTCTTTGATTTCGACCATTCTTACAATGTGTGTTCTATGTCTTCGCTCCATCTTTCTTGATGCGAACGCATCAGGCGGTTGTTTTTTCTTATACTTAAAGGCGTTCACATTTTTCCTGATCGAATTTATAATCGTCATAGCGATTCCTCTAACTATCATAACGATGCTGACGATAATGGTAATCAAAACACTTTATATGTCTCGAAGGGAACGCTGGAGGGTTATGATGGCGAACAGGAGAAATGGACAAACCAATCATGTTGTGGAGCGACGAACTGAAACACCCGTAAGCCATTCGGAGCGCATGAAGAACACATTGGTTCAACTCATGCTCGCCACGGCTTTGCTGAGTTTCGTTCTTTACTTTCCTTTCTGGGTAGTTTTAATAGTCATTCTTTCATCGCATCGATTCTTCTTTAAATCCGTTGGTATTCTCGTAATTGATATGGTTTTTGTTCTGTCATTACTTTCACGTTTTATCAATTTGTTTCTCTACTTTGTATTAGCTCGGAGATTTAGAGCAAATCTTCGCAAGTTGCTGAAATCAATTTGGAAGCATACTAAAAGAAGAGTTTTAAACTTTTGAGGTATATGTTTATTTGCTTTATTGACATGTTAATCCATTTATGTAAGCTTTTTTTTTAAAAAAAAAACATTTTAGCTCGGACAACGCAACCACGCTGTGTGTGTAAAATACTGGAAGAGATGCAAAATCTTTAACAATAATTCTATGATTCATGGACTTGAGGGTTCTTTTACTTTTACCCACATTGACCATGTTCAATGTTACCTTTTTTTTTTAATTTCATAAAGTCTAAACTCTAGATTCTGTATCCTTATCTGGTAGTTGAGCACAAACAATTTTATTAATAATATTAATTATTTCAAGAGTTAAGTTGTTTTTCACCCGCATTTCTAAGTATTAAGAGGAGATGGCTATTTGGTAGACCTTGTTCTTTGACACTTGTTGTGTTCTTTTGTTTAAATTTGGTGAGCACGTGATCAAGCGCACAACAGGGGGCGCAGCGAATGAGAGCGCAGCACGGTGCGCCGAATAATAATAATTACCAATGCAAGAAGATTTGATAATTTTCTTTGAATTTTCAACAAGTGGAGCACTGTTCATCAACATGCCTGCCAACTCAATAAAATAAAATTAACTAACGATTATTCTAAATCTACCAATTTTTTTTCTTGAGGAGAAAAAACTTTTTTTTTTTTTTGTTATACATTCACATTTGAAAAAATAATTTAGTGAAACTTTAAAACAATTTTAAATATTCTTTAGATTACATTTCTATGACTGTGTTATGTGCCATAACAAATTTACATAGGACGAACAATATTTATGTAGACTATGTCTGTTAGAAGTGTTTGACACAATTCAACTTCTTCATCATAAAAGAAACTTACTTTGATTCTGGATGTTAAATGATACGCTTTTACATTTAATTTGTTACGGTAGGATTGATGTTTTATTTTGCCACAACAAGCATTTACAATGTGTGCAAGGGCGGAGCCAAAATGTTTCTGTAAAGTTTAAAAAAAATCATTCAAAAATTCTTAACACAAATAGTAATGCTTGTTTAATTATTTATAACTCTGACAAATTAGTGTTATGAAAGACCGCATGCTTCGTCACGATTTTAAATGTCATATTAAATATTAATGCCAGTTGGAACGACTAATGACACTAATGCGTCAAACGTCCATATATTGATTGATTCCTTTCGTTATATTCTTTACACGTTCATGCGTCGTCCTAACACCGAAAAGAACACAAGCCTTTTTCCATCAGTAATGAAACATGAATCTATAAATATATCTAACAGTCTGTACATTTAAGGAAACGCATGTATAGTGCAGCTCGCGTTGAGAGGAGAAAATAATGCACATTCATCCACCACAAGGCTTTTGTCTGTACGACTGCTGAAGAGCATGCAGTTACGACAAAGATATTCGAGACAATACGTCGTAGTTATAATAAATATACATCACCAAGTAAATTGTGGGATGGGCGTTCATTAACTACTAACTAAATCAAGATAGACCAGGCGCAATAAAGCACAAAATCCAGTGCGCAACTATTATTCGTGAATTCACATCCTCAACACAATGAAATAAAGTTATTACATTAATTGTCCTTCAATGCACTTGCTTACATATTATTATATGTTTCATGTGCTGTGAAAAGGGGACATTTCAAAATACCTTCCTAATGGAGTTCCAATAAAATGTGTCACTTTAAAAAAAAAAAAAAAAATTCTAGAAATTTATGAACGGTGAAAATTATATCAGTCAATGTGAAAGTCAAATTTTCCAGGACTCATTGGTTATGAGACTTTACGCCATGTACTTTATAAAGTTTAATACACAAATATAAAGTGAGGGGCAATTTTGTACCAGGAAGCACAAGATAAGCCCAAAAAATGGAAGGTGCAGTTGATGAGTATTCCATATGTCACATTTAAAAAGGTCACACACCAGACATTTGTTTAAAGATAGTTTTACACTATGTCATCATGTCTACTAAGTACCGGTATACCAAAACCTCAAATGTCAATGAAGTTGAAAAGGAGAAAATAACTGAGAGTTCTTTTTAACGTTCCATTTTGTCCCAAAACTACAAGGATAATGAATGCACATTTTTATGATGATTACAGCATGTTTATTATTATTGTTTTTAAAAAATGTTTTGTAAACTTTATGTGGATAACACTAACTAAAAACTTAATTATTTTATAGACATTAAAATTTAATCATTAAAAAATAGATGAATAATTCATTTCATTTTTCCAAAATTACAGATCAGGAACAAATATGTAGATAAGGGTTAAGTATTTCTTAAAATATAAGAAAATGTGTTGCTTTTTTGTTGTTTTTGTTTGTTGATGTTTTGTTTTTGTTTTGTTTTGTTTTTTTTAATATTAATTGACGTAAAATACAGTTTAGGGGTATATGAATTATTATGAGTTTATGAATATTTAAAAATCCAAAATACTATTACAGAAGTAAAATTTGGGTACTAAATTCGACATAAGAATGCTGTTTTTAACGATTTTGCGAAAAAAAAAGTTCAGGTACGAGGTGATATTGGCTAATTTTTTAATTTAGATACCACTGTATCAAATCCGTTAATGCTACAGATATTTAAAATGGACATTTTTTTTAAAAAAATGTTCATTAGTGTCTGTCCTTGTGTCCATTTTGTTTTATGCGCATATAAGCCGACCCCCTGATTTCAGCATTGTATTTTATAGTTCTAAATTCGGCTTAAATGCGAGTATATACGGTAATTATTTCTTATCATAAAAGTCATAACTAAAAAATAAGAAATAACGGGAAAAAAAGTATAAAACCTGATTAGCTCCCATTAGTCGTAGTTGTGGCGATAATGTCACGGGTTCGATCCCACATCCTAATTCATGTAGGATCGTTTTACATCTGACTGCTCAAATGATGAGAAAAGACCTACTTTATTAGTCAAAGGTTCAGAAACTATTGGGTCTGCATCATTTATTAACTTTTTTAAAAATTATCTTAACAAAGTACGAAGAGTGATGTATCCTAACGCCGAAATGTAACAGGCAAACACGAACAGACGGAAACCACAAATAATTTCTTGATTTCCCTTTCCGATATTTAAAATCTGAAATTAACCTTAACAAAATATAATAATAATAATATATGTTTTCAATTTAAAATAACTTTACTTTCATAGCACACTGACAACATAATTAGAATGTCCAGAGGCGTAGCTAGAGTGTTTGGCGCCCGGGGACAAGATTCATTTTAAAGAGCCTCCCATTCTTTCTTGGCGCCCGGGGACAATTGTACCCCCCCCCGGCTTAACTACGCCACTGAGAATGTCACATTTCTCAAAAGCTCTAATCTCTTAATGTGATATTTGTGACACCATCTTGGGACATTTTGAAGGTTTCGGAGATAATTTTTTTTTTATAGCTACACAACGGTCCTGGGCATTATTTTCTTAGTATAGTCTGGCGGAAGTTTAATAACGAAACGGACTGATGGCGTGAAGTCGGATCAGATGGGAATCTGTGCGTGGAGACCCCAAAAAATCAAAATAATGATGGCTTGGTCCCAGTAGTGTAAGGATCTGATATTGAGGGTGGGAGCCATCAATCGTTTGAGTGCCATTTATGGCGATGATGTTCGTCTAATAAGAATGGAACGTGGTGAACATCTTAAGTACACTTTATGTCTCATGAAACAAGAAAAAAAAATGTGTGGCAATAAATAGACAATAGTCTAATTAATCGGAAAAGGACGACGTGATCACCATAAACGTGCCAGACGATCTGTATTTTCCCGTTGTATAGAGCAAATATTTTTTTTTTTTTTAAAGTTTCAGATGGATGAATGATAATACCAAGCCAATGTTGCCTTTGGTGGCTGGCAAAATCTTCGGAAAACTAATTGACCCACTTCCCGTCAAACTATCGAGCTGAAAATTGGCCCAACGACTCGTGGCCGATGGCAACATATTCTATCAAATGTCCAACCCCAACCCCGAAAAAGCAACATTTCCTGTTATCAGGGGGAAAATAAAGGAAAAAAGATGACACTCATTTCATGAAATAGCATTCCCGATAGCTGCGCTAAATGAGATTCTTTTTTCTTTTTTTTTTTTTTAAACACAGGGTATGTCGCAAGTCCACATGGTGCGTACTATTTTCTTTAATTTTTCTGAAATAGTTGGTTGAATAAAACTGCGTTGTAAAAGCGGATGGGTCATTAGAATATTAATTAATATAAAATAAAATGATAAAAATTGCTTATAAAGGATTGATACGAAAATCTTTGTTTTTAAGGGTTGTTTAATTTCAGCTTGCAGGCAAATATCACGTTCTCTATTTAAAATGGCTTCTGAATTTTTGTTTTGGTAGCTGCATAAGCGGAGATCTACGTCTCATATAAATATGTAGTTAAGAAAATCTTCAAGCCAGGGGTGTCATTGGGGTTGGACAGGGTGAGGCATTTGCGCGCCTTCCCCCCCCCCCCCCGGAATGTGAGGGGTTTTATTTAAATTGCTATGTTTTGTCGTGCCTCGAGTAATAAAACAACAACCAGAATAAGTTTTGGTTTTGCCCCCAACCCCCTTGAAAAAAAACTGAAATGGCGCACCTGCTTCAAGCTCACAATCTTTGGGATAGAAACTCGCGGATATACGCGTAATTAATAGTACCTGGCAATGTTCCCTTTAAGCATCAGTTTTTGAGTATCCGCGCAGCAAATTTCCATGTAAGTTTGTGTTTGTGGGCTTTAAAATTTTGCACACACAAAAATTGATGCTGTAAAATTTCGCACACAACTGTATGATTTTGCACACGAACCAGCAAACCTTAGAGAGAACATTGGTACCAGGGCGATTTACAAACGTCATGACAGTTAGGCTACATAAAATAATATGAGTACGCTTATCTTACTCAGAATCGTCTTATTCTGAATGCCTGAATATAACACTTGTCGGTATCAACTGCAAGTGTTTTCATGTGAACTATAGACTATATTCTTCAGGGAATACAGATTCGGGAAAGGTCTTAATAGACAGTCAAATTTAGTGTAGGGAGTTTGCAAAACATGAGCTGATGTTATCATTTAAGTATAAGGAAATAGCAGAGCAAGGTATGTGGAAGCTTGAATCGAAAGATTGGATAACACAAATTTATTTTGACCAAAACTGTTTGAAATGTATATGATAAGTGGTGTATCTCGTCCGTTAGCGCTGGTTGAGGAGGGACAAGTTTGAGACTTGCTCAGTTTAGACCAGTGGTCCCCAAACTTTTTATCGCCGCGGACCGGTAAACGTTTGATAATTTTACCACGGCCTGCTGAGGGGTTGGGGGTGTTGATTGTTTATATTTTGGATTGCTTTGATTTATAATTTGGTTCCCCCTGTGACTGCCCTCTTTGCCCCATTCTCATGGCTCTGCCTGAGGGCAACATGGCACCCAGAGCGACGCATAATATGGGGACCACTGGGCTGGCCAAATTGTCGGCTGTATAAACATGCGACTAATCCTGTGACGCCCCAATTACACATAAAATTGTTTGATGTCTTTGTTTTTTTTTTTATATAGGGATGGGGGCTAAAATTGAACGTACGAGTTTCGGGGGGGGGGGGGGGGGGGGCGCCCCCCCCCCCCCCAAAAAAAAAAAAAAAAAAAACGTCAATCACAGGTTTAGACCACTCGGCCACACAGCACCCAACTCCACGATATAAAAACCATACAGGTTTACATATTCATTTTGGTCATATTCTGATGTAGCCTACCCGTAGCCTGCACCCCAGCCCCCTGTTGCACTTTTGGCGCGTCCTTTCACTTTAGAAAATTTTAATTTAAAATTCGAATCATATTATTATTTATCCTCTGGATATCTGGGGACTTTATACCAACCCTATGTTTTTTTTAAAAAATCTGAGTGGCAACTCTTCATGGGATAGAATTATTTATTTGATGACGTAAACGGAAGCAATACAAGTACTTGGTGTCGTTAAATCATCTAGCTATATTCGAATAAACCTTTTTTAAATCTCAATACCAGTACCAAATTGTAATATTTCAAATAACTATTTATAGGCATACATTTTCATATTATATCACATTTATCTCACCATCCTAAACACTTCTTTAAAAGTAAAATATAACTCTATTCAAATTTAAATTTATTAAGTGATACAAAATGTACATTGTTTTTATTTTATACACCTTTTTAGACATTAATAGTGCCTATGCTTACTAAAATGTGGACTATCACATGCACATTAATGAATGAAAATTAAATATGCTGTATCTTTTTTTTTAAAGAATTGAAATTAGACAAAAAGAATACATTGATTTTGATCAGTAGTTATATCTAGTTAACTGTGAAAAAATTCTTAACTTTCGTAGGACTACTTTAACTTTCAATGAGGTAATTTCAGAGACAGATCACTTTAAATTAGGCTACGGATGTTTAAGAATCGCAAAAAATAACTATTATTAAGGTGCATGGAGAAATAATTATTTTAAACATCTTTATGTCTTTTATTTTTATATTGTTAAACAGTAATACATAATTTATATGCCTACATTCTTAATAAACTGTGAAGTTTTGATGCTATGGTATCGAGAAGTGTAAAAAATAAATATCGTACATTACAAAAATCATCGATTACAGCCTTTTTTGCGATAGGAAGAATCTTTGGAGAGTGAAATTTCAAGTCGCACTTAACTTCTCTTCGGATACTAAAATACTATTAGGTAATTATTTCGATAACATGTTATTATCAGCTTATTAAAACTTATGGGGTTGTGACATTCATGATTAAGTAATTATTTTAACTGTTTGTGTCGATAGTGATACAAATCTTCAATCGCAAGGACTTCAACTGACAGATGGTGTTGACGTGGCATATCACGTCTCACCAGTCACTCAGTGAAACTGAGTCCAGTAAAACTGACCAATTTTGCTGTACTTCAAGTGAATTATGTTTTCAGAAGTCTATATTAATCTAAAATTTAGTAGGGTCTTTCAGTGGCTACAATCACCAAAGATAGTATAGAAATTAAATCAAAATCTCATTGAAAGTAATGGATCATCAAGTCATCATGTCAATACTCAGTCATTACTGAACTGATTACAATTATTACTTGACCATGGCCATGGTGGCTCAGTTTACATTTTTATTATCTCATGTTCTCAACAATAATTATTTTTGCAAGGAAAGAAAAAAACAAATATTACTAGAAAAAGCAAAAGCAGCTTAGCAACAACAACAAAATTTAATAAGGCTGTTAGTAGTAATAGTAATAGGCTATTTAGATCATAAAATGAATTTGATTATTGATATTGTGTAAATAGCCTTCAATATAATAAATATTCAAATAGGTACTTCGCCGAAGCAAGGGAGACTCCTAGAAAATTTGTATCTGAAATGGGCGTCAGCGCAATGGAATCCGAGTTTTTAATTTTTTTTGTACATGTAATAATGTAATTTGAATAAATCAGGAGTTCTTTGGCCCATAATTAAAGTCTGACTCCGCTCATTCACATTAGGAGACACGTTGACCTACATTCCCATTGAGTTTTTTTGTTCTTTATATCAACTTTAAGTGATGAAAATTGTATGTCTTAAAAAATTCGGTCTAAATATTCAAAGTAGGTCTTACATATTAAAAGTAGGCCTGCATAATTTATTGAAGTACATTGACATGTGTGCAAAATTTCATTGGGATAGCTCATTAAACATTTTCACAATTCTTCTCAACGTTGACCTCATTATTCAAAGGTCGCACAGGCCATTTTGGATTAGTGATCACGCCCTCTTTTAAATGGCGGAAGACGCCGATACTTAGCTTTTGAAATATTCAATATTATTACCACTATATACATCAAAATATTTGATAACTTGTGTTCCAGAATACATTTTGAAGACATTTAAACTGGAATGTTTTAATTTGAGCTTTAAAAGCCCGGCAGAGTCCATTTATAATTAACTATCAGAATTCTCTGTGTGCAAAACGTCCTGATGGGCAACCATTCACAGCCACTTACCACTTGCATAATGGCTATACAGAGTTTCATTCATGAGAGTTTGCCGTGTGCAAAAACTATTAAACCATTGGTCAGGGAAAGCTTTAATTAATAAGTCTTGTGCCAAAGTTGAAAGTTCAAGTTCAAAATAAGTAGATCCCTAACAGTATTTTAGGAAATGCGTTGCCTTGTATTGACTAGATCTATATAGTATTTACCGGCGTAATGAACGCTGTAGATTTGGTAAATGGAAAAGCCATATATTAATACATTATAATAACTTTACTGAAATACATAGTGCATAGTTAGATAAACTAAAATTTATATATAATTGTTTAACATTATTAAAATTATTTTTTTAAAAACATTAGTTCTGAAAATAAAAGTTGTTCAAAATTATCATTAAAACGAGAGTTATATAGCTCGTGACGCGAACAGCAGAATTGGGTCACCGAATGTGGAGATGCGGTCCATGATAAAAAAAGGACAAACTAAGTCGTACTTTATTATTTCATAACTTTAAAACTACAACAGCTAAAAATATAATTTTTGTGTGATAATTCTGTAAACTATTAGCTCTATTCAGCTTTGCCATTCGTTTATTTTTACAAAATTGAAAATTTTTTTTTTACCAAAGTACCAAAATATTGATTCAAGATATAATTTTTTTTTTAAATATGAGAATATACCCAGGGTAGAGAAAAACCTGAAAGACAACACACAAAAAAGTGGGCAGAAGTGACGTTTCGGCAACTACACATCTATACAGTGGCGTAGCGAGGGTGCTTGGCGCCCGGGGACAAGATCCATTTTTAGCGCCCCTTTTTCTTTTTTTCAACTCTCAAACCCATTATTTTCATCCATAAAATAATATCAAAGCACATTTTGGCGCCCCTAACTAGCTGGCGCCCGGGGACATCTGTCCCCACCCCCTGCCCCCACCACGCTACGCCTCTGTATCTATACAAGCTAAGTGCTTGTCTGTATTTTTGCTAATGCTTCTTTGGGCAATCCTCTGAAGTCCTGTCCCAAATTATTTTGTATGAAAAAAATTACAATTCACAGTGCCTATTGTTAGGATACAGCAGAAATGTTAGTCATAGCTTTTGCAAGTAACAGTCACTTTACAAACCTATCAGTAAATACTGAATGTTGTAATTGGCATATAGCATTTGCAAATAACAGTAGAAAACGTTCTGCTTGTGACTGTTGCGCCACTGAAAGGCCCCCAAGTAGCTGGCAAACAGACTGGGACTAGTGCCACTCTGATAGCAGAGTTTGTGTTTCGCTTGCAGACAAAGTCCTTCTATAGTTTCTGTGTGAAGGTCCTAGTCTACTGAATCAACAAATTCACGCGCGTGCACAATGACAGCATGAGCATAAATCCTGTTGTTGAATTGAGCGACATTTTGATATCCTCCCCAAGCGTCCATGATGATAGTTGTCCCTGGTAACACATAATTAGTGATAATGCGCTCCCAGTGTTTGTGCGTCTCGACGGCCAACATCCTCCATCCAACATCATCCACCACCAGGCTTAACCAAGCCGACAACCCACTTATTAACACGTCCACGGTGATATTTTCAGTAGAAACAGAAACTCATCGATCTCAACAAAAACAGACTGGCCACTTGCACCGAAGCCCCTCAGCAGTTGATTGGTTCTCAGCATCCATTGACAGCATTCCTGACGAAGATAGCTGTTATAGTTGACAGTAGTGTAGCTGTTATAGTTGATAGTAGTGTCGCAGCTAACCAGACTCTCGAACAACATAACGTGTTAACACGACTTCGTAAGCCAAATAATACATGATCATAACTATTTTTTTATTTGTTAGAATGCAGTTGGCAAAGAATGTCCCGGTTCTAACACTACTGCAGGTGTTGAATGGGCGAAAACGCCACGAAAAACCGTCATTGCATTCTGCACAAGCGCCTAACGTCATTGGGCTCCTGCGTGTTCCACAATTGTTATTTCTGATCAAGCGGTGTTGGGCCAACCACTCCAACCATTCACGTTTGTTTGACATTACAGCATACAACTCACACGGAGTTACTTCAATTCCGCCCAGTTGGGCTGCTGGCAAAATAACCGAACTAATGCTTATCTGTGCGGCTGGCCTACCTGCTATAATTTAACAAATTTATTGTATTATACGCAAACATGAATTTCAAAACAAACGATGCCTTAGACTTTTAAGTAAGGAGTAATCATTGGAAATAATTTTGGGACCGGACTTCGGAGTATTGCCCTTCTCTGTCTTTATTCAGGTTTTCCTCTACCCTGTGTACATTTCTTATTGCTTCAACCTAAATGCAGCCCTCCTCATATTTATCAAAAAGTTATGACATTGTGACATAGAATAAGGCTAACAACATTTGTTAACCCTCTTGAAGCGGCTGGCCAATATGGCAAAAAAAAAAAAGGCAGATCCATCAGCCCATCAATGAATGAGATATCTGTATTCTGATTTGCATAATTTATGCATGAACATTTTTTTAAACTTGGAATAAACACGTCCTACTTGCAGAACTTTGCTTATGCCTTTTGGCAAATTTAAAGGTCACATATTTTTAAAGAATTTTTATGGGTCACTAGGCTCACAAAAAATTGATATAAAATGACAGAACACTGTTAACTATCATTGGAAGCCGCCATCAAAATATCAAGATGAGCAAGAAATGCAAGATGCAATCTGATTAGCTGGTATGAAGACCAGCCAGCCAATCTCGAGGATAATTATTTAACATCATTTTGTAAAATGCAAGTTATGGTTTGGAGTACATACCTTAATACCTTAAGTGACTACATATAGAGTCTTAAAACCTACTTATATTTGCTTATTTTCTTCTTACATGTTAAAATAACATTATATATCCTGCACATTTTATATTCTCTTATTTGTGCTACACCATTAATAACAACTTATTAATAAACAAAATTTAATTTACTGAGTTGTAAGTTGCTGTAGTAAGCACAGGAATTACCTCTTCCACAACAATAGCTGACTTACTGGGCTAATTTGAGAAGTGGCTCATGGCCCGCATGCAGCTCGTTGATCTATCTCATGTAGCTCTTTTATTATACTAATTATTAGATAAAATTTAATATTTGGCTCTTTGTCATGAAAAGGTTCCCGATACTGGCTTAGGGTATCTAATGTTTTAAAATTATTTTCAGTCATGGATCAGGTAATGCAATTTGTTGAACCTGCCAAAACTTTTGCTAAGGATTCTATAAGACTGGTCAAAAAATGCACCAAGCCAGATAGAAAAGGTGAGTAAATGAAGTAATTTTGGTTGCACCATAATGAATTATTAATATGGTCCTGCTGCTTTTCCTACTGGTTATCTGATCCTTTTTGGTAAGAAACTAGAGGTTCATTGTGCCAAGGCTTAAAATATTAACACATTTTAAAGACAATACTTGATAGCACCAAATGATTAACTATTTTTCAAGTTTCAGCTAAGATATTATTCCTGAATAAAAGTTGTTCATTCTTGTATTAAGATTGAAAATATTCACCGTGTACCCAAATTGTCCCAAAGGTTACTGGTAGACAGGCAAAGTAAAGTAAAAGTAAAAGGCTTGCATGTTGTGCATGGAATAAAAATATGTTGACTTGCGAATAAATGCTTGGATTAGAATATCTGTAAATAATTTCAATATTCTATTTAATTTAAACAATCCAATTATGGTACTTAGAATCACATGAAGGAGACTGTAGATAAATAATTAAGTACTGGTTCCGGTATCTTTAGTTTAATGTTTGAATTTAAGTATAAGTTTAAGTAATTGTTAAATTCTACTGTTCACTTTAAACCTTTTTGTGTTTTCTTGTCTAAACAGAGTTTCAAAAGATAGCAATGGCCACAGCTATTGGTTTTGCCATTATGGGATTTATTGGATTCTTTGTCAAGCTGATCCACATTCCAATCAATAACATTATTGTGTAAGTTTTTAAGTATCTAAGTTTACATTGGCAGATGTTAAAAAGATCATTGTTGTTTAATATTTCTTAGGCTTGCAATGACTTGCAGCACTGACAATGATTGCTGAGTCAGGTTTACTTTTATGGGGTGGTATAAAAAAAAATTAAAAGATTAGTGCTAAGAAAAAATGTCAGGATCAATTTGTTTAAATTTGTCTCCTTGGGAGTGTAAACGGTGATCCCTTTTCTTGAAGGCTATTCAACACTGCTTGCAATATTGTTTGGTTTTCTTTTAAGATTGTCAAAAGTCTGACTCTTTTTAACTTCAAATTAATTTTTTGAAAACTGCTGTTTTGGATCTGGAACCTACTTGTACAATTGTAAACCTTAATTTCATCACCTGTAAAGATCCTAGAGTGAGTGTTTAGTCATTGGCGCTCTCATAAAGTGATAAAGCTCAAGGCACACATCACACTGCAGGTTCCCAGCTGTGTGTTGAAGCCGGTTTGGTTATATTTATAAATCTTTAATATTCTACAGATCCGGTTATTAAATGAATAAATGTCAAAATACCCGCAAAAACAATTTTTTAAAAATCCAAAGGTGAAGAGATGGGACATTTTATTGAGAAGCACTCCTCATTTACAATCACAAATCATCCTCTACCTCAACTCTTCCCACCTCATTTCAAGTAGGTAACTCCGACATACAGTTTACACCCTCTGCTAGGAATCTTGGTTATATTCTTTCTAACAACATGTCTCTCGATAAACATATCTCTCACATTTGTCGTTCGGCATACACCGCCATCCGTCAGATCAGCTCCATCCGCCACTACCTGACAGTTAGCGCAACAAAAACTCTAGTCTGTGCTCTTGTTCTCTCTCGTCTTGACTATTGCAACTCACTTCTGTCAGGTTCACCCAAACATTTTATAGAAAAACTGCAGAAAGTTCAAAACTCTGCTGCTAGGCTTGTTCTTAAGGCAAAAAAACGCGATCACGTCACTCCACTACTCCACTCACTACATTGGCTCCCTATACAGGCACGCATTGACTACAAGCTGTCTCTTCTCTGTCACAACTTTTTCTCGGATTCCTGCCCTTCCTATCTAACTGAACTTCTTTCTGTCTATTCACCCCTTCGACAACTTCGCTCCTCCGCAGACTCGCGTATTCTGTCCGTTCCCAAGACACGCACTAAATTATATGGTGAACGATCTTTCTCTTTCTGCGCCCCCAAACAATGGAATTCTTTGCCACTACACATCCGCAATATAACAACCACACAGGCCTTCAAAACTGCACTCAAAACACATCTATTTAAACTATACTACTCTGACTGATTCTCCTCCTATAAACCGATAAACGTACATGGGTTTCCTTGTAAAAATGTCTGGTGTGGGTGGATGAATATACCTCTGGTGTTGTTTTGCTTATATGTTGTTTTATTTCATTTATGTATTTTATTTTAATATTATGATTATGCCTCTTTGCTATATATGTACAGCGCGGTGAGCCCAGCCCTAGGCCGGGGTACCGCGCTATATAAGACCACTTATTATTATTATTATTATTATTATTGATTAAATAATTTATAAACTTAAACTTGTCAATCTGTAAGTATTACGACCATATTAAGTGCTAACAAAAGCATTGGATTCACTTCAGTTTTTAATTCTACTCTCAGTTTCAGGCTGTGTCAGTGTTAGACAAAACTGTTACAAAAATAGATAAATTCAACATGTAAAAGCACCCAATTCAATTTTGAACATAGCTTCACACTGCAGGTCGATCCCGGTTTCCACAAAGGGAGATTATAACTCTCCACAAAAACATTGATGTTTCTCCTTTAACAGACAAGTAACATAACCGGAATCGGTTGGTGCTTGATTTGCAGCACATGGTTGCAGATGCCATGATCTAGTGATAAGAGAAACAAATTGTGTCGCTGAACATTCTAATGCCACCTATCTTAACATTACAAGCAATCTGTTACATCAGTTTTGTGTAACACATTATTATTAATGAATCATTTTGGTTACCATATTAACATAGCATTAAACCATGTAAATCACAACACATGTACCTTATTAATCTTGTGTAACAAAAATCTCTTCTTTTTTTTTTTTGCAGGGGATCCTAAGTGTTATTACAGTGACCTCTGGATGGTGTGTTGTATGAATTGGTAGAATGAATGGTTTGGAGAGTATCTTCATTATATATTATATTATGCATTATTTTATGGTCAATAAACAATGGTAAATGAAGCAGTGTGGCTAAAATTTTGACATGTTTTCAATACTTAAACTACCGGATATTAGAAATGCACCAATTAGATACCAGTCCCTGATGAAATGTCATTTGATTATTGATTATAATTTTAAAATTTTTTGTTCAGATCACTGATATGGAATTTATTTTGTAATTAATTAAAGTTTAAAGTATTTTATTCAAAATTGTTCACAATTTTTTGAGAGCAGATAATGACAGAGTCAAGCTGATTTTACTGTAGTTCTACTATATTTTATACCAGGTACCATTACCGGTATTTAATTTTAATTAATATTGCAGTACAAAATGGGATTCTAAATAACTTATAGTACCAGGTATTATTTTTTTTTAAATGTCTCAATTATTTTAATTCTGAAATATTAATACAATCCCAATGAAGTTCTGAAAAGGGTCTCAAACTCAATTAATTGATAATTGATGGTAAGAAAAGCCTCTTAAGAAAGAAATATTAACCTATGTGAGGTTGTTGTGATAGTGAAACAGCCTGTCAGTCTCCCTTCAAAATGCATCTTTTGTCACTTATCAGTATCAGGCAGGGAGTACGAGTTTATGGAAGAAACTGTTGATAGAAAATTGCTTATCAATACGGGTACTTACTCTTTATTAAATCTGAGGATTTGAAAAATGTATTTCTGCGCACTTGGTTTTTACATGTTGAACTTTTAATGCTATGTTTTCCACATGTCAGATACAAAAATTAATCAATGCGATATCTGAACTAGCCCTCAAATTCAAATGATGGTGTAAAAAAATTTGAATGAAAAAAAAAAGTTAAATTTTTACACTACTTACCGGTATACATAAACGCACCTGGCAGCATTAACATTCCTCAAGTACCCTGTACATTTAAAATTACTAGTTGGGTAAGCTACAACAAATTGTTAAACCTGCAGTTTAATTATCAAATTACTGTTATGACATTTGAATTATTAGTAAGCTAATTTTAACTGGATCTGAACAATTAAAATTGTTATCTCAAATCTGTTAAGTTTTTATATATTTATTTTTATTTATTAAAATTTTAATGTACCTAATGTACCAGTATAGAAAATGGAGTAAAGTCAAAACCTGCTCCCAATCCATATTGCAAAGAACCTATGCATATTGTTAAATTTCAATTCTCTTAAAATATACTGCAATCTTCTTCTTCTTTATTTTGAGGACCCACAATCAATGAATTTATCATTCTGGCTCCTATGATCTGTCATATTTGAATTATTGACAGTTTAGGGGAGTGGGGGGTGAGTTATTTTATATCATGAATTGCAGGTGAAAAACAGATTAAAATTTTAATTAACTCAGCTAATCATGTTTTGATGTAGTTACATTTACATGCAATGTTCCCTTTAAGCTGCGCGGCTGCCCAGTAATCTCAGATGCCGTGCAGCAGTTTTGAGCACACACAGCTAATTTCCTCTTAAGTGTGTGTTTGTGCATGCAGGCTGTAAAATTTTGTGCACAAAAAAATTGATGCTGTAAAAATTTGCACACAACTTTATGATTTTGCACAGGAACCAACAAACCTTAGAGGGAACATTGGTTACATGTACTGTTTTTCTTTAAAAAGTGGATTCTGTATAGTATCAACTCTAAATCTAAAACATCGACCTGTGGTTCGCAACCCCTACTCATGGGCCGCCTAAGATCAACAGAACACAATGAAGTATCATCAAGAATATTTATTGGTTGGGAGTCACAGTATTAGGAAGGTTGAGAACCACTGCTAAAATTAAGTAGGGGTAGCCTTTCTTTTTTGATGAATGTGTGGTTCAATGACTAAAAATTATAAGAATCAATGAGAGCTTATTAAATTTATTGCAAAGGAACTGTTAAAATCTGACAGTGAAGCATCCATTCATACTAAATTATGATTTGTCAATTTTTGTACTGTACTGTAACTAAATTTAAATTTCTTAAATTAACAAATAACATTTTGGACACCAACAATTAACCACAGATTCAGCATTAGTGTTACCAAATGTTTTAATACAAAAAGTAAATAAGTATCACACAATCTAAAAAAAAGTATGTCAAATGTTCATGAAGAAATGAGATTTTAACACAAGCTGTGGGTAACTTCACAATGCACTGAAAAAAAGTCTCTGCTTAGACAACAGATAAATCTCTCGCATTCACTTGTAAATAGCCACATACAATCATAATTTAATCAAGTGCATTTTTACATAAACTGATCACTTGGAGCACGAATATCATCTATTTTGAGAATCATGCGGACAAGCTGAGCAGCAAGCAGAATCTGTTGTTTCTTGGCAGTGAGTGTCTCAATTACATGTTGCTCTTTCATGTCTGAAAAGATCATTAATTATAATTAATAACCACCAAACAGTTGTCACCTACAGGTAGGATACAGCATTCCTCCAGTAACTAAAAATATTGCTTTAAAATTAAATAGATGTCTTAAAAGCTTGAATTGCCATTTTTAATCAATGCCTTTTATGTCAAAGTTAAAACCACATTGTAGTATACTGAAAAATATTCTCCATTGTTACCCCATAAGATACTCTATAAAATGGCCTAAAAACCCAAACAGGCTTGGAGCCTGTGTTCTACAGTGTTATATTTCAGTATCAGATCACAAAAAGTTTTTAAAAATCTAGAAACATTAACTAAGGTATCCAAGATAACTTTTCTGGAATAAAAAGAACATAAAATTAACAATAAACCTACCATTGGTGCCCTTGTTCAGGCAGTCAATTCCTAAAAATGAATTGTTTTCTTTAACTTGCCTAGACTTGACTTCAGCTAAAGTTTGGAATGGGGACAAACCACTGTTTTCTGCCAATGCTAATGGTATGCTTTCCAAAGCCTCAGCAAAGGCTCTCACGGCATACTGCTCCAGTGTCGAGATCTGGAATTGAGTTTTGGGGGTTAACAAAATAAGGCATAATATATAACTTGGTCTCAAAAAATAAAAATAAAGTTATTGTAAAGAAAAGGAGATGGACACCCATACAAGAGTTATCTAAATGTAAACTTCATTCCAGCAGGCGTCAAATAGTTTTTATATTTCACTGAAACAAATCCCGGATTTCTGACAGTAATGCCATGTTGGCAAGAATCTGCAATATTTCTATGAACAATTAGCTTGAATGCAAATATAAGGACTGTTTTTGTAATTGTGTCCTCAAGTCTTTTTTTTCTTCTTTCCATGTCTGGGGGCATTCGTATAAAATAAATGATTTTACATTTAAAATTGTTTATCTGAAAATCATATTATTTTTCTTTCCTTAGCTATTAGTTCTTCCCTATGAACAGTCATAATGGCCAATGATAGGATTGATGCTTCTGTGGTGTTACAACTGATATAATCAGTCTCTACTAAAATTAATAATATAAATGCCAATCAGCAGTTTTTACATTTTTTCAAGAGGGAACCTAAAAAAAAATTAGGTCTACTTAAAGGAACTATATAACTAAAATTTAAATATTTTTACTAAGTTTTTTTTTGGTTCAAAACTAACTTGTAGGACTCATGGTGGCCCTGAAAAACAAAAGCATAATTTATTCAAAATACTTCTTTGTGAGAGATTTTGAAGACAGCCTTGTTGGCATTACTCATGGTAGTGATAATTACATAAGGGAGCTAGAACAGCTCAAGTTCTAGTAGTGGAAAATAAGGTAGTAATGTTATAGGCATTAGATTTAGAAATATGCTTTTCACCAATGAATGTGTTTATTTCTATAAACCCAAATAACTTTATACTTTCTAAACTGAAAGAATAAAGTTTTTATGTCTGAAAAACTTATCTTAAAAAGGATTAAGCAGCCAGTGTGTGTGTCTTAAAGAAAGATAAGACAGTAGCACATTCTAATCATTTCACATGGTTCACAGAATTCTAAAATTCATACCATATGATTCCTTGTCCAGTTAACTCCCAGAATATCTATACTTAAATGGGTCCCCGAGTTCATTTTTTATTAGCTTTAGGTATTTTAGTGATACATTTCAAGTTATTAAAAAAAAGAGTTGACACCACAGCATGTTTGCATTTGACAGTTCGTTGGTTAACAAATGTGTCGGCCAGCTGTAACTGTAACGAGTATGAAGGTTTCGTTGTACTCATTACAGCTGGCTAGTAACTGGACTACAAAAAATAATATGAAAAGCCCACCTTGTCAGCAGCCTCTTGAACAGCCAGAGAAGCAGCTATTTCAGGAGCACCTCCACCATAAACAATTCTATTGTCCCTAACAATGTTACGAATAACACACAGGGCATCATGGATGCTACGTTTGGCTTCTTCAACAATCTGAAAAAACATACCCGGTATAAAGATGATAAGTTATTTTTCATAACTAAGTATACAATTGATAAGTCACTTTGACAAATGTAGGGATGATCTTCAGAGCTTAAAAGAATATGTCTCAAAGCTGAGGTTGTCATCTACTTTATTATTGCATGTTTTCTGATCCAATGGTCCATGTAAAAGACCAAAAGAAATTCCTCATGCCAGAAATTTTAAATACAATGTTTTCTAACTGAGCACACATTCTCCCACAGTAAATGTCCTTTAATGTTTCAACAATAGACTAAATTCAAAGACTTCTTTATATATAAAAAAAAGAGGCATCTTTACATAGCCTTCCTTATCTATCTTCCTTACAATAAGCACAAAGTATAACATTACTTTCTTACATTGTCACTGATAATCAAATTGAGCAATATTTGACTTTTCCCATTTTAAAGACCAAACACAATTTTAATGTGATTTGCAGCAATCAGTTAAAATTGAATGTATTATAAATATGAATGTTTAAAAAAAAAAAAAGAAAAAGATTGTTTTCATTTAGTTCTTGCCAAAAAAATATTTAGTTTTTCTTTATTTTGCATGTAATAATATATTTTGATATGTTACGGTCTTAAGACAGAAAATTAATAAAGTGTTACATTTCACAATTATGGAATAAAACAAAAATCCAAGTATCTGTACACCTGACTTAGATTACTTTATATTAGCTAACTATTAAGGGGAAATTATCAAACCCTATAAAGATGTCACATAACATACCATTTTATTACCACCACGAATAAAGATTGTGACAGCTCGTGAGTTGTGGCATTCTTCAATAACCAACATACGATCTTTAGTGGTGCCAAATGTCATTTCTCTCACAATGCCAGCCTTACCAAGTTTCTCAGCAGTTAGCTCCTCAAATCTAGGAACAATTCTCCCTCCTGTTGCTATGGCAATAAGCTGCAAAAGAAATATATTATCATATCAATTTGTCTACTTAACAATTAAGTCAATACTAATTTTCAATTCTATCAATACCAATTCTTGTTTGAGATGATTTTTGTAAGAGTCTATGAATGAAATTTTCATTAGCAGACTATTTTCACAGTATGTAATATGGCAAGTTGTCTCATCTAAATAACAATCATAGAAATTCATTATGCTCAAATGTCTATGGGCAAAAAAAAAAAAGAACAAATAATTATTAACATAATACTTTTTTAATGCAATTTCATTTCAGATCCAAGACAAAAATATATTTAGAAGTTTAATTTAAAAATTATATTTTCATTTATAAATGGATTTAAGATATCCTAATACAAAACATCCTGCACCCTTCATCAATTCATGCCAACAGAAATTTAAACAAATTCGTCTGTAATTTCAATCATAGAGGAAACTGGAAAAACTTAATCAAAAATCATTATCTGAATAACCAAAATTAATAATTTCAAAATTCTGCATTTCTTTCCCATAATAACTTTAAATGTGATAATGATACTGAGAAAATTTATTTCAAATGTGGTAAAAAGCATAGCTGACTATATTAAATAATAGTGAAATAATTTAAGATATTGACAAATATAGGAATCCATATCATGGGTTATCTTTCATCCAAACCAAAAAGCACACCTTGATTAATACATAGTGATGCCTACCTCAATCTCTGGTCCTCCAACCCATCTGACAGCAGGTAGTCCCCTTTGCAGTAGTAGATGATTGGCTTCATCATCGAAGCCCCACTGACAAATTACTAAATTTGCACCAGTGTCTTTAACCTTCAAAAACATAATATAAAGATTGCATTAAATAGATACACTAAGGGCTTTGGTGGTGATTGAACCCCAAACCATGAACTTGATATTGACTCAGTTTAAGACTACTCGGCCACCCAGAACCATAACATGTCAAGCATTTTGTGCTAATATATGAGTTAGTGGGGGTATTTTTTTCTCTTGTTGAAATCAGCCATGTCAGACAACTGAGTGATCATTGGGAGGGGACTTGAAAAAACATGAATGTATGTTGCGTCACTCAGGTGAAGATTTTTGAAAAATTGTTATTTCAATGTGCAGGATTTTGGAACTTATATTTCGTATAAAAAGCCAGTACTTATTTCCTACACTTCGTGACTGTAATGCATATGAATTTTAGAAACCTGATAATTTTTTAAAATGTATCACCATTACTACACATCAGCCCTGTAGAGGTAAAAAGAAAAGGAGTTTAGACAGCAGTCATTTCTGTTGCAGTCACAAAGAGTCCACAACCCCAGTCAACATTTGTTCAATGGCTCAGAAAGCAACCGTTCTGATAGGTACCTTTAAAGTTCAAAGTAATGGCTTTGTGACAATTATAAAACAAAAATTAATTATTTGCATACCTGTTGGACCATGGACTCAAATTTCTCCTTTTCATATTCCCTGAGTTTATGATAGTCTTCAACACTTGTGACATCCAACTTGTGTTTGGTCTTTGGCTTTGGTGGTTCGAATGGGCAAGTAAGGATTGCAATGCGAGCATCTTTCACTACCTAAATATGAAATGTTTATTAACTGGACAGCCCACATTTTAAAATTGGTTGCATTCAACTTGTCAACCTAGTTAGAAGTTTTTGTCAAGCCTTTTAACCTCTTATAAATGAATTTAACAGTAAATTCAGAATGATTTCTCTACAAAAAAAAAAACACCCTATGCAAAGACCAAATGACAGATTTCATTTTAAGGCACAGCTATGGGGGAGCCTACTATGAAGCCAAAAAATTAATAATTGATTTAAAAGCAGATTTCTAAAATGAACATTTTTCAGAATTTTCCATTCAACATGCCAAATTACAATGTGATGAAATACCTTGGGCATTTGAGGGTGGCTCATGTCCTTATCAACAACAACTCCTTTGACCAGCATGGTGTCTTCTAGTTTGCCTCCAACTTTGCCTTCTACTTTGATCAGCTCAAAGTCAACATCTTTACGCTCTAAGTCAGCTACTGACAGAATAGCATCAACTGCTATTTCTGCCATCTGACGGTGGCACCTGTTAACTCTAAACAAAAATAAAGAAACATTTAATTCCAAGTTAAAATACTTTTATTTGGAGTTGATACAAAATGTCGCTCGATATGAAATTTGTGTGGATAAGCTTCAGAGTCCATGAGAAAAGGTCTCAGAAACTGAGGTTGTTACCTACTAAATTTAATGTAGCATGGTGTCTGATCCGACTGGCCATATTGGCCTTCAGAAATTCCTCATGCTAGTAATTTTATTAAAGTATTGCATCATCTATAATAAAAAAAATAATATTAGCGATGGAAAGAATCGCATCAATTAATATCTGACAGAGGCATCTGTTGACTAAGCAAAAATAAAGAAACAAGTGAACAACAAAATTGCAAGCGTATAATGCTTCCATTATGAGGTAATACCATAATATCAAAGTTGGCGCAATATGAATCTTGTATGGATAATCTTCAGAGTCTATGAGAAACGTTCTCAGAAACTGAGGTTGTTACCTACTAAATTTAATGTAGCATGCTTTCTGATCCGACAGGCCATATTGGCATTCAGAAATTCCTCATGCAAATTATTTAACTTACAAGACTATTGCATTATCCATAAATAATTATTAATACTAATTATTTAAACATAAGCACTATTCACAGTACAGGCATGCACCACATCCAGCCCCCAACAGTGTCCACTCCTTGCTAGTCTAAATGTAATAATGTTCACAAAAGACTAACTCGTACTTAAAGGTTGGCATCATGCAATGAAACACAAAGATTTTACAAATAACTACGAGTCAATACTTCCACAAATAAATTGTGTCAGTGGAGCACAGCAAGTACAAAATAGGTGTTTCGTGCAAGTTAAATGTATAATGTCTCGAAAAAACTGTGTACTGACTATAACATTATGCTGGAAAGGTCTGCAAGTGCTATTGAAATATAGAGATAAAGTAGCTAGTTTGAAGGACAAAGATTTCTGGTGATTTTGCCACCTATTTGTTTTTTACTAAGCTGAAAGCACCCACCATTTCGCAACCCTAGCCTTGAGAATGATGAATGTGCAATTATTCCCCAACAAGAAAAGCTATTAAAATATATCCAGTAACACTGGTGAAATGCCAGGAATTTAATCTGAGTGGTTACATCTAATTCGCTCCTTATTAGCTCTTGTAATTTACAAAATCTGAAAAACATTTAATTCAAAATGAATTATGTCCAAAGCATTCTACACACAGCTTGAAAGAATCCAAGCCATGCTCTAGTGCCTACATTTTTACTGTAGCAAGCCCTCAGGAAGACAAAAATCATATAATTTTGTCTGCTGTTTCCTTGCATCAAAAATATTACAGATATAAAACATGACATTTGTATAACCTAAATGCAACATTTGGCAAAACACTTAATAATCACATCCCTAAATTGTAAAAAAAAAGGCAAAAATTATAATTACATTTTAGAGCCTAGTGTTGTCATAGCCAGACGAATCAATGGCTCTTTGTCAGAAAGATCAATTTTAAATGTCTCACTGATTTGGTCAAGCTTGTCTGTTGCTATTTTTGCAGCCATTTCATAACCATCAGAAATACGAATAGGATGAATGCCTTTATCCAACAGCTTGTCAGCTTGTTCTAACAATGCTCCAGCCAAAACTGAATAGTATATAAATATGTTATTGGAAAGAGCTCATCTCAGTTAACTTCAATGAAAATTATTTAAAATAATTTAATTTGCAGTTTTTTAAAATCTTATTTCTCCATGATTATTTTTAAAAATTAACAATATCATTAAATGAGGCATTAATTGTTCCGCGCAAATTTTTTAAAAATCATTTCTTTTCATGTCATGAAAAGATTTGAAAATGTGCAAATTACTGTGAAATAAAATATTACCAACAACCCCAGTTGTACCATCCCCTATCTCATCATCCTGGGACTTTGACAGCTGGACCATTAATTTGGCAATCTGATGATCAACATCCATTAAGTCTAGAATGGTTGCTCCATCATTTGTTACTGTAACATCTCCATCAGGTCCAACCATCATCTTATCCAACCCTTTAGGGCCCAAAGATGTCTTGATGATATTGGCAACTGACTTGGCAGCAAGAATATGAGACTGAAGTAAGAAGACAGAAAATTAAGATTATAAACTAATAAAAGTAATTGGTCATACTACATAGGACTTAAATGATATTTAGGCCGCGTAATCCTCCAAACGCGGGTTCCAAATTCAAAACACAAGTGAAACACATCGAATGAGGGTTACTTTGAAAATTTAACAAGAACATGGTCAAATGTGAGATTTTTCAACAAGCAATTTAATGTTTTACCAACTACATGGTCAAATATGGATAATGTCCGCAGCAACTTTAAGTATGGTACTGCCCAAAAATGTGTTCTTTGTGGCTAAAGCTCCACTTGAAGGCATACAAGTAGCTTGGAAACAGGTCATGGCTCGTTCCACTTTGATAACAGAAATTCCTTTTGGCATGCACTGTAAGTCCCTCAATTGTTTGAATGTGGATTTTTAGGTGAACAAGATGTACGAAATCTTATGCACGCTATAAAATGTGTTATTGATTTGGTTGACATTAGCATAGCAAGCCCATGCATCAGTAAAAATGACTCTTCCGTAAGGTACATGATCAGTTAAAATGCGTTCACAAGTGTTGGTCCAGGCCACGATTTCCAACAAACATCGACCTGAAACACCAACAAATCCAACAACCCAGAAGCCACATTGGGAGCGACAACAATATTTCCAATGAAAGTAATATAGGTTGCCCAGTGGCACCAGCCTCCAAGCTGAACTTAAAATAGATTGCAATACTCAAGTTGGAAAAAGTATTTTACAATGGTGTCCTAATTTTCAAGTCAAGTCTAAGTACCTAACCAAAACATGCATCATAAAAAATGCGTTCAGCATTGTGTCATAGTTATAGGTTTTCAGAATTTTTCCTGGCAAGCCCACAGCCTGATAAAATATTTTTAATTATAATTTCATTGGGTGGTTAATTATAATAATTAATATTTATATTTTTGGGCATTTTGAAATTGGGTATTTTAATTGTATTGATTTCAGACACTTCTGGGTTTTATTTTGGTGGAAAAGAGTTTTAAAAAGTGTATTGTATGACACTGCTTTTCGTACCACAGTGTGATGTGTGTAACGAGAGCACACGTTTTAGTTGAGGGAAGGAAAGACCGCAGATGTGTGTTTGCACTACTTTTTTTTAAAACATGGCTGCCATCTTAGCTCATGAGAAATGAGTGGCGCACCAAACCAACATTTACTACCTAATTGACATAATTGACATATGAACTTTTAGTTTTAGTCTTTATTGTGCCACTTATTTCAACTTTAATTAGGGCCTTTCACTTTCTGATCCTGCGACTTAAGTAAGGGTTCATCTCCACATGCGGCTCTAAGGCAACCTGAGTGCGTCTCGGCCAGTTGAATAACAAAATCGGTTTTAAATAAAAAAAATATGGTTATTGAAAAATTGTTCTCCAAAAATTTTCAATCGTCCTGCTGCTATTTGGCCCTTTGACTAACAGTAATAGCTAATGAGTTTGCAGACCACTGGGCTATCTCATTACCAGGAATGTCTTTGAACTCTTTGAAACCTTCCAAAAAAAATTTTGGTAAAATTTCTACCCTTTGGCCCTTTCATAAATTATGTCTCATAGGCTGGGCTCTAATGTTAATTGTGCCCAATTTATAACTATGAGTGTAACTAAGTTTTGGCCGAGCCCTGTCAGATGTCGTTCAGCACAGTACGGCATCCCCCCCCCCCCCCCCAATGAAATGTTGGAGGCACTCAGTTAATGAGCAATAAGCGCCGTTACTGACCATTGGGACTATTGTCTATATTCATAAATAAATAAAAAGGGAAATATTAATGGCCTTTGATTTTTAGATCTTTGAAGCGAAATGAATATTAGAGGTTAGGACTGCCTTTAGTAGCTTTATCCGAAATTCTTAGAACATTCCAGAACTAACCTTGTGGGCATCTTTTCCCGTTAACCGTGATTGCTTTTCTTGATCACGCAAAATAATGAACGGTCTTCCATACTCGTCAAAGGCTATCTGCCCTGGAAATTGGTTCATTATGAATTAGTGCTCTCAGAATTGGATGTTCATCGATTTTGAGAGAATCCTATGGAACTGAAGAAGCCGGTATATTATTTACACTAATGGTGGAAATAGCACCTGGCGAATCCATTTGGTCTCAAATGATATCGATACTCATAGCGCTTGTCGATACTATTTTACTTTGGGGGGAAATGGGGAAAATAATAATCATAGAAAGTAAATTACAGAAATAGCATTGCATGGCAAATTTTTTTAAATTTTAGTCCCCCAAATTATATTTTGTATTTATTTTTTATTAGGTTTAAAAAGATTTAGTCATTCTACATTTAGATTTCAGCTCTTCGAATTATTTATTTCTAAAAAGGTGTGTGGTGAGTCATGGGCGCCCGCAGAAAAGTTTCTAGGGGGGGGGGGCAAAAAAAATCGATTAACTTTCCAGGGGGGGGGGGCAAAAAATTTTTAGTAATGTTTTAACATAGTTTTAATTTACAGTAGCGTATTTTTTTGGTGAACGAACGGACAGGCCATCCGCTTTCTCTTTATTTACTTTCTCTTTACTTTAATGATTTTTTTGTCTTTTTTTTGTCTAAAATTTTTTTATCCAATCAATCCAGGGGGGGGGGGTGCAAGTGCCCCACCTTGCCCCTACCTGCGGGCGCCCATGTGGTGAGTTACCCGAGTTGCATGGCCCAGTTATTGGGGAGTGCTCAGACTACCACGTTATTTTTTTTACAAGATACGTAATATAATCTAGGAATTTTTTCATTTAAAATATAAACCTCATTGTTTAAATAATTGGGAACATGTGTTACACCGAGTCAACTAGTTTCTTGTTGCGCAATGGTGTCGCCGGGGAGGGGTCTGACCGCACCGGGTGATACATAACTTGCGAGGGACACCTAAACTGAAAATTTCAATTTGACAGAGTTCGCTCGAGTCGGTATCATACCTTCATAATTAGGGTTTCTCATTGCCTGTGATTCTGCTTATCCCGGGAAAACGGGAATACAGTTTTCCTTATCCCGTTATCCTGGGAAATCAAGGGATTAAATAAAATTATATTATAAATTGAATTAAACCATAATAGAGTTAATTTTTTATATGATTATTTGTTTTTGTCTATCAATAAATAAAAAACAATGTTACGGTTAGTTGAGATTTTTGCCACTTGCTACAAGTTGCTTCATTATCCACTGCTTATCCCTAGCAGTAGCAAATGATAACTAGCTAATAATATGCTTGTTAAGCAAACGTTGGATATAACTGCCTGTAGGATTGGGTGACCAAACGTCCCGTAAAAAACGGGACTGTCCCAAATTTTTCCAGATCGTACCCGGTGTCCCGAAAAAGTCTCTCGGGACGCCTAAATGCACCGTTTCTAATACCAAACACATTTTCAAATCACGAAAACGTCCTAAGTCCTAATTTATAATATAACTTCAAGTAGTCATGTGGGCTCGCGTGATAGCTGCACTGTCTCCCCTCCACCACTCTGCCGACGCTGGTTAAAAGACAGTGTCCCTGCCATATTCACTGCAAAATTAGTGTTTCGTTTATGATATGCCTCAGAGATAGCTTAAATTACAAAAGTTAAGGTACACATAAAAAGATTTCTAGGTCTCAGAATAGTTAAAATTAGCAAATTTCAATAAACAATTTCCGGCGGAGGCCCCCAGACCCCTCTTTAGCGCGAGGGTATACTGGAAAATTAAGTTTCAAAATGTTTTCCTTTCCAAAAATGTATCTTATTTAAAAGTCATTTTTTCGTCCAATATGTCGTGGCAAGGGTTATATTTTGCTTCTATTTGAATGTGGTCGTGACTTGAAACCTTTTGAGATCCTCTGTACTAGAGCGACTGACCTTAGTAATTCCGCGCACTTATCTAGTATTTACAGGTTTTGGCACCTGAACGGCTTGTTGTGTTTTTCTACTGAAGGTGCCACAGTACATAGCGATTTAAATAAAACCTGCAAATTCAGGGGGGGGGGGGCAAATGCCACCCACTGCCTTGCCCAATTGAGTGGTCGTATTTTTAATTGCAAACGTTTATTGTGGGATAGATATTGACATGTTTGCAGATCGCATTTATCTCTATAAAAAAAACGATCCTAATTAAAGAAAACCACAATTTTAAGGGAATCCATTCTCTCCCCTACCCCAGTGGATAGTAGGGTCTAACGAAAAAGCATATAACAGGGAACATTTTGGAATGTATTGGAAGTAGGGGTCAAGTACTGGAGGAGGGGAGAATTCACCCAATACCCCCCCCCCCAAAAAAAAAAAAAAAAAAAAAAAAAAAAAAAAAAAAACCAAAAAAAAACACACACACACTTTTTCAATAAATATATATTTATTATTTGTTAGAAAAAAATAGAGCCTTACTGTAGGAATCGACCCCTGTTTGTAAAAACCGAAAACCGGTTTGAAACCGAATTCCTCAAAACGAAAACTGTTTTAAAAAAAACAAAAACAGTTTTGACATCACTAGTATTATTATTTTTAATAGGAGGTTGTTTAGCTCAACAAAGCGTATCGTAATATCCAGGTTTCTTAAAAAATACTCGATACTGGTCATGTAAAGCGGAAATAGCCGGGCACAACTAACGCTATTTTCCCAAAGTAGGAGAAGATTTATTAATCCAAATTAGTTGTCCCTGGCAACATATTAACAAAGTTGAACCCATTGTTCGAAGAAATGAAAGTCGATGCAGTTTCTCTGTGCAGTACATCAATCAAATATATTATTAAGGTTTGATAAAAATTGCGAGGTAAATTATTTTTTTGAGTACCTTCATAATTGGGGCTTACAATTAAAAAAAGTTATTAATTTAGAATATTGGAGTCAAACATGATTTGGTGACTTACTTATTGACAAGTCTCTGACAAGTTATTAATAATAATATTATTACAATAAAATAAATAGGCCTATGCAGTATGGCTAAAACTATGAGAATATTACTATGATGGGGTATAGCCATAGCTGCTGGCATGATTGCGATGAACGCCAGCCCAGGCCAGTCAATCATAATCTATATTCTATTAATATAATGGACTCAAAGTACTCATAGGCATAATCACACTCACATTCACATGCAACTGGAATGGCTGTATTCAGTATTAGTAGAAGTCAATTCAAAAAGTTTCCATCCATGGTGGGATATGGTGGGATATGGGCCTGTTTGTGTTAATAGTTAGTGTTTTTTTCTAAAAGTTTTTTTGTGTGTAAAATTTGGGGGAAAAGGAGGTTGGGGGGGGGGGGGGGTGTTAGTAAT